TAATTTCCCATAAAATAGTCACTTATTTTAATAGAAGTTTCCTCCCTAAAATTGAGGTTACATAGCTTCTCCAGATTGACCGCAACTTCAAAAGCTTGTTCAGATCCAAGGTATTAAAAACATTATTGAAAACATCAAAAGATGACAAATCCCTTACCTGGTAAAGCATTTTACTTGGTCTTAACTTGCAGGAATAGGTGTTGCTGCTAAGCAGTATCGGTCCCTAAGACTTGTCCTTGACTCTCCCGTGTCACGTATCCTAGAAAAACAAAGCATCTGACCCAAATCTGGATTCACCTATCCATAGGACATCCCTTTATTGTACTTATATCATGACGCATTTACAGCATACACATATGAGCCTTTACTATGCTTGTATCAAACCTTTACTATACTTGTATCTCATTGGTTTCACAAGCTTCACCCTTCTAGTATAGATTTCTGGAATCTCAACTCATGTATTGAGAGCAAGCCAAGACAAGAGAGAGAATAGACAATCTAAGAGATGAACCCTGAACCCTAATACAACTAGTGCTATACTATTCCATGCCCGAACAAGATCAAATTTGCAAGTTGCATCCTATCCATTACTTTGCAATCATCTCCACTGCAATCCTTGCCCAATTCTCGATAAACCTGCTGGCTTGCCAACTGTCAAATAGTACCCTAAGGAATGGAGAACAAGAGGTTCCTCAATAAGTAGAACATTCCCTGTGTCTGATCTGTCCTTCAAAGAATCCAAATCTTGCATTTCAAGCGTCCAACGGGGATCCAACCTCGCAAGTCCGTGTTGAATTTCTTGACGGCAACATACACAGCATTCAATCCATAGAATTGATGAAAGAGTATAAAACTCTGTTCTGTCAAGCAGTGGCGAACTCTCGTAAAGTGTTAACTGCCATTAGTAGAAACCTCGTTGGCGTATTCAACAAAGTAAGCAGTTGCTTTGCTGAGCGGTACCTTTCCAGAATAAACGATTCTAATGCTGAAACAAAAAACCTATACCATAGCTGGAATCTTTAAGGATCCGACTAGCATAATCCTTCAGGTCGGTCCTCATCCCCCAAAGTGACAGAACACTGCAACTGAAAGTTTCTGTTTGAGTGTAGCAGAAACATTGCGTGCAACAACAACCATACCTCTGGTGCGAAACCCTAACAATGCTGGCACAAACACATCCAAAAGAGATCTTGTTTTTGCTGTAGGTAAATCAAACCTATTAACCAAGGTGTCCTGCACCCCCTGGCATTCGTCGAGTATAATCGGCCCCCCTCTTATGCGTCTTGATCAAACGATCAAATACCTCTTCGATCCCGCAGTCACTGGATACTAACTCGAGTAGTTTAACACTTAGAACGAAAGGGTCATTCTTGAACGCAAACCAAACCTGCTTAAACAACCAGTACTTGCCCTGGCATGCTTTCTACTACCTCCTTCAACTTGTCTAGGATGAAGAATTTGCTGAGGCGAACATCTTTGAAGCAGCACCGTGTCACGCGCATCGAAATTAACTGGTTTCCTGGATACAGAACCATTAGCCGGCTAACCAGCGCATCTAAGTCTGCAGAGCCCTCCAATCCAATCCGTCCCATAGGAACACCAACAAAATACAGAGCCGAAGGCAATCTCATATAGTGTTCGAGTCTTTCCAGAGCCGGAAACACCGAAAAGGACCACCAGGCCAGAGCGTGCTATATCCAATTGATCCAGAATGTATTTGGAGGCCGGAAAAGGCTCCTCGAGGCAACGCCAGAGAAGGCAAGGTTTGCGAGTGTCAAGGAGCTTGCAAACCGTCCCTTTGCAAACGTCAGGATAGCTGGCCTTACAATCACTTGGCTTAGCAAGTTCTTGATCTGCTCTATGTATTTGGTTCTATATTTGGTCCAAGATAGTTTGCACATCTGCTTGATAAAGATCAAACATAAGCTTTGAACAAACACATAGAAAGGCAAGGAGAATGAGCATACAAGTAACGATTCGTCAGTACACCAAATCCACAAGGAAGTACACACACAACATAAGTAAATCAGTGACAGGAGCAGGAGGTGTTGCAAAAACAGAATTTGTCAGCGATGGAAGAAAGTTGCTCTTTCTTTTTCCTCCAAAACCATTTCTCCTCATCCTCACATATTTTTGCTTCTTAAAAATCACTGGCACAGCCATAAATCAATAGTTCAAAACTCTACTAGAATCAGACAGTTTTAATATTTAGAGTTGAAGAAAAACACTGGATTACATAATAAAAGAACAAAGTTTGCATAACGTGAAAAGGTTGTTCTGAGAAACTTTAGAATCTCTAGGATACTGAAAAAGGAAAATGAAAGACGTTTATTGAAAAAAAAAAAAAATTATCTTAAAGAAATAAAATACATTCTCTACTACCATTACTATTTAGAATAAAACAAAAAACAAAAATAGTTTACAAGGAGTATCATCATATCCCATTGCCAGACAGTGGCACTGCTGCTCACCATAACCTCTTTTGAGTTGCTTCACAGGTTCGATGGGAAGAAACAAGAAAAACAGATTGCCCTGGTCTATATAGCAAGTAAATCTAAATACAGATTAGAGGTAAGAGAGCTAGGAGGAACGAAAATATGGGAACTCTTACCATGGTCTAACTCCTGTAGAGCTCCAAATGATGAATGCATGAACTGAACCAGAGTTTAAGCTCACTCTTTCTTGCAGGTGAACATTACTCATAGCAATGCACTACTGCCTGGATGATTTCTTTTGTACTCTCAAAGGGACAAGGGATCATCCCAACTAGAAAACTTTCACGAAAACAAATGCATTATTGTCATTGATCCCATGAATCCTAAGCCGTTGATTTCTGCCCCTATGAATGCCAGCCGTTGATCATTTGGCGCGTTTGCTAAGATCTTACAACTCCGCGAGGGATCTGTGGAAGGGGAGGCAAATCCACGCATCCATTCTCGAGTCCGCCGATCTCTGTTCCAATACTTTTCTCGCCAATCTCATTGTCCAGATGTATGGGAAGTGCGGGAGCACAGAGGACGCGAGGAGGGCTTTCGATCGAATCCACGCGCCCAATGCCTTCTCATGGAGTATACTCCTCTCGGGCTACATCCACTGCGGCGAGATCAACGAGGCAAAGAAAATCTTCGATAGAATGCCCGATCCCGATGTGGTGTCGTGGAATTCGATGCTCGGCGTCTATGCCAAGCAGGGCCCTGTCGAATGCGTTAAAGGTTTCTTCGATCGAATGCCTTTGAGGAGCTTGATCTCGTGGAATACGGTGCTCTCTGCGATCGCCGATTCTGGGCATTTTGATAAGTGCCGAGAGTGCTTTGATCGAATGCCGCAATGGAGTGTTCTATCGTTTACTGTAGTTTTAGAAGCGCTTTATCAAACAGGAAACATAGATGAGGCTAAACGTAATTTTGATTTGATGCCAGAAAGAAACATAGTTTCCTGGAATATGCTGATTGTTAGAAATGCCGAGACAGGGCACTTTGAAACAGTTGAAAGCATTTATGCGAAAATTCCAGCCACGAACATTGTGACTTGGAACTCAGTCTTGGATGCATACAAAAAGCAAGGTGATGTTTTCAAAGTGCATAAGTATTTTGAGGCAATCCCAGAAAAAGACGTCGTCAGCTGGAACACTCTTCTGTCTGCATTTGCCATGCATGGAAATTATGAAAGTGGAAAAGCGTTGTTCCTTGAAATGCCAATAAGGAGCCTTGTATCTTGGAATATTGCACTTCAGATGTTTTCAAAAGAAAACTTAAGTACCACCCATGAAGTTTTCATGTCTATGCCGAAATGGGATCCAGTCGCGTGGACGCTTATGATTCAAGCACATACCACGAACGGGGATTTGGACATGGCACGGGAATTGTTTGATGAAATGCCCGCAAAGACGATGGCGGCGTGGACGACCATGATCACAGCGCACTCGCAGAGAGGACGTGTGGCAGATGCAAGAGCCCTCTTTGATGCCATGGACGAGCGCGATAGTGTTGCATGGACAGCCATGATTGCCGGCTATGCGCTTCATGGGGACAATGGAAGAGCCAAAGAGCTCTTCGATGCCATGGGTGACGGGAAGACCATCGTCTCCTGGAACGCAATGCTGGGATCCTTATCCGGCGATATTGCTAAGATGGAGCGATTCATGCACAAAATGCCCAGCTGGGACGTGATCTCATGCAACTCAGTCGCGGCCATCCACGCGCAGAGCAAAGGTTCTTGCGATGCTGCCAAGTTTCTATTCGATTCCATGCTCGAGCGCAATGTCTTCTCGTGGAACACACTGATCCTCGCGTTTGGATCGAGCGAGCGAGCAGTGGAAGCCAACCGAGCGTTCGAAAGAATCCCCCACCGGGATTTGATTACCTGGAGCTCCATCGTCGCCGCCAACGCAGAGAACAGCCAAATGGATCGCGCGGAGGAGCTCTTCGCAAGCATGCCCGAATGGGACGTATACTCTTATAACGCAATGCTAAGTCTCTATGCCCAGACCGGGCATATCGATCAAGCAAAGGCATTGTTTGATGGGCTCTGGATCAAAGACTCGATAACTTGGAGCACGATGGTGGCAGCGTATGCCCAAGACGGAGGATCACACACTAACTTAGCGATGGAGCTCTTTCGTCTCATGGTTTTGGATGGCGTCTCCCCTCACGGGCTGTGTTTCGTGAGCTTGCTCGCAGCGTCCAGCCACCTCGGGCTCAAACAAGAGACGCGAGAGAGCTTCGCGTCGATGGTCTCGGACTTTGGCGTGGATCCAAGCCCGGAGCATTTTCTGTGCGTGATCGACGCCTTGGGACGGTCTGGCGAGCTGGGAAGAAGCCGAGAGCTGATTGAAAGCATGCCGTTTGTGCCGGATGAAGGTGCGTGGAGCACATTGCTTGGCGCTTGCTCTAGAGGCCATGGATCGAGCGTGGAGGAGCTGGCAGCACACAAAACTCTCGAGCTGGATCCGCGGAGTAGCCCGACTTATGTTCTTCTCTCCAGCGCTCTATGCTGCCAAGTTTGAGCGAACGATTCGACTGAAAAGTATGGAGTCATCGTCACGGTGACATGGATAAAACTCTCGTCAGGGACTTCAAGGCTGCGAGGTAGTTCTCGTCGATGGTATCGTGATCGTATGTAACGTGGGCGAAGTCTACAAGCTTGACACTGACTTTCGATGCTGCTCCATGGTCCTCGTAGATTATCAGCACGGAGCTCGAAAAGAAGTGATAGAACGTCTGCTTCTCAAACCTGTGATGATTCTCAGCTTCTGAGAGACGTAAAGAAAAAAAGAGATTTTTACCAGCTTGTGAGCTTCTCGAGCTCCATCTTGGCGGCTTCATAAACTTTGGAAGCCAAGAGTGCGTTTGGATTCTCGTCATCGAATGGATTTGTCGAAACAAAGCGACGGATGGCGTACTCTACGCCGTGGTTGTCGAGCTTCCGGCACCAGTTGCGATCGGCCTTCCATTTGGAGCGAGTTGATGGATCATAGACCTGGCAAAAATGGAGAAATTAAAAGAGAAAAAGGAAGCTTCAACACGATCAACAAAGAAACGATTGAAAACCTGCATCCCACTGACGCGAATTCCCAAAGTTCCTGTTGTGGACTCGCGGTCTTTTATCCTGCGCACGAATGCTTCCAGCCATCAAAATCGAAATTTTCAGAAAAGTCGAAGCTCCAATCCTAAAACTCACTCGCATTTCTTTCTATAGGCTTCACCAGCCTCCGGGTACCACGTCTGGAATCCCATCTACAATCACAAATCCAAAGTCTATCACCAAAAAACTAAAAAGGAAGATAAACACGCACCTTGATATCGATAATGCAAGGCTGGTCGAAGCTCTTGGTCACGTCCTCTAGCACGGCATACCGTACAAGCCCTGGTCAAGGAGAAAGAAAGAAAGAAAAGCTACAAAACTAGCAAAGGATATTTGTTGGCGTGGGCGAGTTTGCAGTGTCAACGAGGACGGAGCCGCGGAACTTTGGGAAGAACTCCTTGATCTCGTCTGGAACTCGCTCGTCCGACCAAAACTTTTGGTAGAACTCAATCTCGTACTCCCCTCTGGCACCGTCTTGCAGCGGCTTGTAGAACCAGCCCGAATCATCGACGAGCGAGCCGACATGCCCCTCTGCGAAAGAAAACCAAAATCAGCAAATCCACAAACAAGGGAAAGCTCCTCTCAAAGAAGAAACCTTCAAAAGAATGGCCAGCAACTTGGTTGCTCGAAGGCTTCAATCCCTGTTGCACAAGAGGGCGATCACATCAATCGCATTGCACTACCGAGAGCTCACCGATGCGATCAATCCAGCAGCCATGGTCGCGAAGAAACCTAGTGAAGCAAAGCCAACGAAAAGGGTTTAAAGACAAATATAGTCAACAATGTCAACTATAGTCAATAACGTCAACTCCATACATTAATGCCACACGATGTCGAGGCCGAGAGGTGAGAGATACTGGATGGGACTTAATCCCCGCGGCGCTGGCCAAGAGCGGATTGTGGTGCCTGATCGATGTTACCATGGTCCATCTTGGTGGAAGTTTCCAGTGGAAGAGGATCTTCCTCCCGTGCCTCGTTTTCCCGGTTGCAAAGAGCCTGGAAGTCTTTGGAGCTCGGGTATCTGACTGGTAACGCAGTGATACCACCACCTCTTCCTGGGAGTAGCCAACGACGAAAAGATCCGGAAGCTGTGGTGAGGCGGATGTTGTGATGACGGATCAAACTCCATTTCATGGATGATGGTGGCTGCTGCTGCTGCTGCTTCCTTTCCCCCGGAAGAACCGGCTGAATGCCGACGAGGGGGGCTTCTCCGAGGGCGATCCCATGTCCAGGGACTTGGTGAGATCCAGCTCTTTGCTTGCCGACGCCGCTGCCGCTGCTGCTTTCAGTATCTTGGACTTGGCTGGGGATGTCGACTTGGAGCGTGGCCTTCCTTCCAGGGGGATGCTAGGCACGAACACCTTGCTTTCACCGTTTTGTTCGCTACCTTCGGTTGCGAGCTCTGGCGTCGGTTCCGCCGGTTTGGCAGCCAAAGTTTCCGCTTCGTCTGGTTTGAGTTTGGTGTTGCTGGTGCTTTCTTCCGATGTTGAAGGTTCTTCTGCTGCTGCTGCTGCTGGAGATTGAGAGCTCCTCGACATGCTGAGAGACTGTAGTTGCTCCCCAAGATTGAGGATAGCACGGTGGCACTCGTCCAGTTTCGCCGCGAAATCCACACTCTGCAAAAAGATCGTAATAAGATTTAAAGAGGGAGGGATCACAGTTTTACCTTTTCGGTGCTCGAGTCTGGAGTAGGCACGACAGGGCTCGAGTTCTTCGTCCTGGAAGAGAAGATTGCGCGTCAGAAAAACAAGGTTTTAATCTGATTTTCTTACCGGGAGAGTTGCTGCTGAAGAAGATCATCAAGTTCGGCAGCAGCGGCTCGGCTCTTCGACCGTTCCTTCCCAAGCTCCTCCTCTAAAGCTTTTGATCTCTCCTCGAGTTGAGTTGCTGCATGCAATGCTGCTTTCACTTCGTACTGAAGCTCCGCTTTTGCTGAAAAGCTTTCGGCAAGCTGGTCTTCTGCGAGCTGCCTCGATTTTGCTGACAGAGCTAGCTCCGCCCTGAGCGATGCCACCAATTCTTCAGCTTCAAACACCTGACTCTTCCACGTTACTTGCGACAATGCCAAGTCGTGTTCCAGTTCCGCCTTGTCAGCCTCCAGGGTCTGGAAGTCCTGAGTGACCTGCTTCAAGCTTTCATTAGCACGTCGCTGGATTTCTTCTTTCTCTGCTTTCAGTTCTTTCAGTTCTTGCTCCGCTATGGAAAGTCTGCTGCATTCTTCCTTGACACCGTGAACGATCTCGTTTGTTGTGGCCAGAACGTGTTCAAGGTCCATTTTCTCGTTTTCCAGTCTGCTACATTCTGCTTCCAAACGTTTGAGGTTGTCGGTGGCGGTTTGCAGTTTCTGCTCAACATCCTCGTTTGTTCTTCGCAACGCAAGCACTTCCGTTTCCAGCTTCGAGCAGCTCTCCTTGAACTCCACTACAATCTTTGTCAAGCCTTCCACCTCAACGCAAAGTCGTTCTTTCTCGGTACTAACTTCTTTAAGCTCCTTGTCAGACCGATTGAAGTCACCTTTAACACGCTCAACGTCGTGCATAAAACCATCTTGAATATCTGCGTGCTCGGCTTTCAATCTCTTGCCCTCCTCCTCTAACGTAGCTATTCTCGTTCTCAGTTGCTGTACGTTCTGTGAAAAGCTCTGCTCCATTTCTTCTTTCTCGATCTTCAGCTGGTAAAACTCGCTCTGTAAGCTGATAAAACTCGCTTCCTGTGCCTTGAGCTCCTCGTTACTTTGGCAGAGCCTACCTTCCAGCCTAACATTCTGAAGCTCTAATCGACCAATATCTTCCTGTAATGTGCTCACTCGGCCCCGCTCCATCTTAAGCTGCTCACTGGCCTTCTGCTCCAATAAAGTCCTCTCATCCTTGTGCTTCTCGAGGCAAAGGTCCATTTCGATACACCGTGCTTCCTTCTCACTGAGAGACCTGTGAAGAGCTTCCTCCCGTAAAAGATACTTGTTGAGAGCTAGCTTGGTCTCCTCGAGCGACTTTCTACTTTCTTGTTCTTGCTCCATCAAGCGCCTGAGATCTTCCTCCAGTCCGTCAATGGTCTGAAGATGGACGTTCGTTCTGTTTGAATCCTCATGCCTCTGCTGTGAAGCCTCAGCCAAAGCTTCCTCTAGGTCCTGTTTCTCGTGTTGAAGCTGAACGAAGTCCGCCATCAACTTCTGGATATCCTGGTTCACTGCGTCGATGTCTTTTTGAGTTGCTAGCTTGTCCTGTCTGCCGCGTTTCAAATCAGTCTCCAACACTTCAATTCTCATAAGCTGAGACTTCGCCTGCTCGTCGAGCTTTTCCCTCTGAGCTTCCAGTTCTGCCATGACCCCGTTCATCGTCTGGAGGCTCCTCTCAGCTGTCTCCTTTGCACAAATCTCTCTGCCAAGGCTCTCTTCGAACTTCTTGCTTAGTTCTTGTACTTGATCACGAGCTTTCGCGTCTGCAGCCTTCAGATCATTTTCCAGAGCAGATATCCTCGACTTAAGCTGTTCGACCAAGACCGTTGATGCCGCCAGCTTTTCTTCCATCTCGCGATTTTGCAAGGTAAGATCGTCCAAAACACTAGCATTCTTGCCAGCACTGTCGTGTAGCGAATCCATTAGCACCACCTTCTCAATTTTCAGGGCAGCAAGGTTCTCTTGATGACGAGCCAATTCCTCTCGCAGCAATACTATCTGGCTGTTTGCCGCTGCTAACGCAGCCTCCATATGCAATTCCGGGCTTCGGCCCCGTTCCAGGCCAGCGAGGACGTCCAAAGTGTTGCAAACTTCGGCGATGAAACTGAAGAAGTCGGCATTTCCTTGCAATAGAGCGTTGCCAGAAGCAGCCAGCCTTTCAAAACTACCATCGACGTCGGCATTTGTCCACTGCACCTCGAGTGTTATCTCATCTGTTTTGATCTCGGAGTCAGAAGGTGGCTTCTGCCCGTGTTCAAGCCCACCATCCTGTCCTAAACGCTCTAAACTCCGGAAAATCTTCCGAGCTAATGGAACCAGTTCCTTCTTTTGCTCGTTTGCTAGCTGATCAACATCTCCATCCCTGGATGGTACCCCATCCACCTGTCCCTGTGCATGGCCATTTGCTGCGGTGTTGTTGTGAACCTGACTTTCCAGAGCGGACACTTTCTTTCTTAAAGCGATAATAACTTCGTTGGCGGCATCAAGGTCCTTTTGACTCGGGCTCCCGCTTTCCTTCCTCTCCAGTGCCTGACCATTTTCGTGTGGCACATTTGACGTGAGCTTCTCCATCTCCAGAAAGTCATCCATGAGTTCGAAGCTTGTGGTGTCGAGCAGCTTGTCAGGTTTCTTATCTTCTTTCTTAAACTGCGCCAGCTCGGTGATCAGTGCTGAGGCCCAGGCGTCCGCTTCGTCTCCATTGCAACTTCCATGGGATGCCTGCTGGTTGTCTCCAAAACTTCTCAAAGCCTCTATGTGCCCGTTCAGACCCATCTTGGAGACGTCTTGTTCCCCATAGATACTTGCGAGTTGCTCTTCCACGTTGAGCAGCTTGCCTGCAGTCCGCGCACACATTATTCTTGCCGCCTGGAGCTCTTTGTTCCGCTTGGCAAGTTCATCCTTCAGTGATTTGGTTTCTTCTTCCAACGCAAACCTGTCGTCCATATCCTTGTTGCTCATTTCAGAGCAGTCGTCCACCGTTTCAGAGAAAGCTCGTGGTGAGCTCACCAGCCTTCCAAGTGACTTTCTCCGATCCAGCACGTCCACCTCACGTAGGTGCGGGGACGAACCAGCAGTCTTCTTGCGTAGCTGAATCTTTAGTCTCTGGCAGTCAGCTTCAAGCTTTGAAACCTTTCGCGACGAATCCAAGAGTTGCTGTTTCGCCGCCTCAGACGCCTTCTTGGATTCATTGTTGAGGCCAACGAGGTCCTTCTTCAGCGCACGTACGTCATGTTTGAGCGCGGCATTTTCCTTCTCGAGACTCTCCACCTTAGTTGACACCTTCTTCACGTCCAAATCCGCCTGAACCTTCGCATCTGCTATACGCTGCTCCAGGGATGCATTCTCGGCTGTTGCTTGGAGCACCTGCTCTTCCGCTTCCGTCAGCCTCGCGTCAAGATCCGTGCGAACCCGATCCCACTCTTTAGTCTTCTCCTCCAGCTCTTCTTGCTTCTGCTCCTGCTCTTCTCGTCCAGTTCGCAGCTGCTTTACACACTCCTTGAGAGCACCATCCAAGTGAGCAACGCGCTCATCTAGAGCTAGCCTTTGTTGCTGTGCGTTTTCTAGCTGCTGCTTCAACATGGCGGCCTCGGCTTCTGCCTTCTCCCATCCTGAAGAACAAAATAGTATCGCAAACTTTCATATCAGCTTCAATGAAGGATTGGAGCACATACCTGATATCGCATCCTCGGCAACTTTGGCATGCTGCTTCACTAAGTTGTCCTTGTTTATAATCTCTTTGAGCGCAACTGTGAGCTTGCTGGTTAGGAGCTGGACGCTTTCATCGCCTTGGTCCTTCTCCATAGCCGGTGTGTTCTTTCCTAGATCTCCAGAAGCATCACCATTTGGCTCTTTGGCAATGTGGTCGCCATTTTGCGACATGATCAGCTCCTAGAAGAGAAGATCCCTCAGCCTGTGACAAAGACCAAATATCCCGGAACTACTTACTGGGATATCTACTGCCTCGCTCATGGTGTGATCCAGACCTAGCTCTCGATCTGCAAGGAAGTGTGCGTGATCAGGTGATAGAAAACGGAATCCTCGCAGCTCTCAAGAAATTCTTGGCAGGCGCTTTCGCATGGAACGAGCATTAAACCCGCATTGCCAGGCTACGCACATTGTCCTCTTGCGATGAGGAACAAGGGAAAGGAGAAGAAATCCAGCATTTACCTTTCCTCGCTCTGCCTTACTGCGTCGAGCCGCCGCCCTGGGCCGCCACAGACTCCTCCCAGCAGCACAAATCTTCGCTAGGCATCAGAAATTCGCTGAAAGCTTCGGCGCACGCTCGGACATCGACCGATCCGGCCGCGGCGGCGCATTGATCCGCGCTGGAGACCAGTGACGCCGCGCTAGGGAGGGATGCGAGAAACCCTGATTCTTTCCTCCCTTTCGCACAGAAAGCCAAGAGCACAGGAGAAATGATGAACGAAATACTTAGAGAGTGGGAAAGTAGAAATTTCACCTTAATTCCCCCCCATTTTTTCACTCGCTTTTACTTTCGGCGCCCATGCGAATCGAACTTTCATGCGCTCTGCCAGTCCGCCGGATCGCGACACGTGGTGGATCGTAGCGCCGGCATCTATCAACGTGGAGGTCGTTCTCACGCTGTCAAAGGTAGGTCAAAATGGTATAAAATAATTTATCTTGCCTAGTGATCCTTTTCAGGAGGCTATAGAATTAATTAGTCGAGACCGCTAATTAATTTGCATAGCCAGTGGAATATGAACATCGTTGCTTTTTATGTTTGTTCCAACATCAAAATCACATCGCAAATTTTTTTCGCAGCGTTGCTTTCTCAACAACTGGCACCTAAATCGCAAAAAGAGAGCGAGAAAAATAAAATAAAATTCATGAGACAATCATAATGTATAAAAACTTGAGAGAGACAACTTACTTGCCCATCGTACCGTGAATCCGTTGTTGTGTAAGAGCTAAGGAAAAACCATTGAAAACTTCGCGCTCTGTGGATGAAATCAATAGAGTAGCAGCACTTTCTTGCTGGCAATCAATTGCCGCTGCCTTCCAAGCTAAGAATCCCTGCATCCCAAAAATCATTTGAAAGCAGCAAACGGGAAGCCACTTAACTTCGATGGGAATGGAAGGGTCTCCTAGATTCCGGCATTTCTCGCAAAGCCATTATCTATCCCCCTGTTCTTGCGATGCACGGAAGCCAGCCAGCCTCTTCCCTGGGGCCTGAGGATGGTGCTCGCTGCCAAGCCCCTGCAAAAAAGGAAAAAGAGGAAGCTGTCCTGTGAGAAAGAGTTTGGTGGTACTGTCTATGAAAAATGCAAAAAAGAAATATGTACTAGTGCTCCTACCCACAATGCAAGTGGCAAGGAACCAGAAAAGAGAGGAGGATGAATAAACATAATCCTTGGACTGAGTTTTACGACTGTCATCAATGTGGGAGCCAACAAACTCATGCACATGGCAATATGGCTAACGTTTGATGATTCCATTCCACTCTCAGTGAATGCAAGCACAGCAGCAGCGACTCACATGCACTAGCTAGACGAAAAGAGAAAGAAAAACAGAAAAGAAAAACGAGAAAAAGTGCGGAAAGAGATTTTCTTACCTGAAAAATCACTGGGACGAACGGAAGATCCATGACCAGTTGTTACTTGAAAACAGGAAGGCAAACGGATGCCTGCAAAACAAAAAAGAAAAATAAACATACACACTCAAGGATCAGTTTCAACTTTGCAGAGTGGCATACCTTCTTTTCCGATTCTTCTTCTCCTTCGTCACATGTAGGTGGCCGGCTAATGTCTGCTTTTAGCCTCTGTCAAAGCAGAAGGTTACCTCCGCATCGCAAGCCTGACAGTGACGCCAAATGTTTAGATGAGTGCAGTGCAGCACTAAAGGTTGCAGTCATACGAGTGACGTGTGCTTTAGAAGTGTAACAGTGCAGGAATTGTTGTCGTGATCCTTGGCGAGCATCAGACGTACGTGAGGGACCGACTTCCAGCTCTCGCCGAGCGCTGGCTTCAGCTCCTCGTCCTCCGCGGCAACAGTGTTGTTTGTGATCTTGCAATAAAAAAGCACGTAAGAGATAGAGTCGACTTGGGAGCAAAGCTGCTCACCAGGACACAGATGTTGCGGTTGATTGCAATGCTTTTCAGGATCTGAGCAACGGACATCATTAAAGTGTGTCCTGCATTGCAACAGAAGAAAACAAAAGGAAAGATAAGATTTTGTTTCGCATCGTCAAGCTTAAAGCAGTTGTTCACGCCTTGAGCGTTGTTGCCACCAAGAATTGGAGAAAGAACAGATGCCAGACAGTCAACAATAACTAGCCGTAAATGCACCGGACCCGGGAATGAACTGTAAAATGATATGCAATCGGAGAACGCAAATGAGAAACATAGGCACAAACCTTGCGGGATCGTATAGACTATGAAGCACTTCCAATAGGCCGTGGACATCGTAAACTTTAAAGCAGAAGATCCTTCGCATCGCCTCTTTCACATCGTCCTGCAAAAAGTCGCTGACATGAATAACTATGTTCGGACCTTACCTCGATAGCTATCGAGCTACATCTTCTGCCACACATCATTTGCAAAACACGCTCGGCTGAGAAAGAACTCGAGGCATCGACATACGCCACAGAAAACTTGTGGTGGTAAGCCACGCATGCGGCAGAGTGCATACACAGCTGAGAACAAAGAAGTGAAACACTCGGTTAGATCAAAGCTAGTAGAAGACTCTTCCCGTTACTTGAGTTTTTCCGGAAGAGGAAGGCCCCACAAGTTCCGTGATTGTTCCATCCTTCAAACCTCCTTTCAGCAGAGAATCCAAGCTACACAGCAACAAGTGAATTGTCAAAAACCACACCCTGGACTTCGAGAGCTTTGAGAGACAAACCTTTCAAACCCTGTGGAAAGGGAGCCGGCTTGCAGATTTTTCTGGAGCATTTCATCTCCATTTTCCCATTTTCCATGACATTCTTCCAGAAACGTGGCCAATTCGGACTTAAACTGCTGACATAAACAGCACATCTTAGCCAAAATCAGGCAAATCAACAAACAAAAACCTTCTGAATTTCTGGATCTTCCACGCCAGAATCTAGTTCCTGTGAAACAAAATCCCCCACTACGAGAAAGAAAACTTCACAAATTCACGAAGGAAAAGAGAGGAAAAAATGTACCTAGCGCAAAGATCATACCTGTGACGATCTTGTTGCGCTCCAGAAACTCCAAAACACGAGGCGTGAGAGACGCAAAGCCGAGCGTCCGCAACGGCGCCATAGCTTAAACCCTAGCTCCCCGAACAAACCCTAAAAACAAAAATTCGCATTTCCCGCTCGGATCCAACGGTCACTTTTTGCACGAAATCAGACGCTTATCTCCGCGCCACGTGTTACTAACCCTGGGTTTTGAGAAGGTCGGTGTTTTCTCGATGACGAGCATGGATTCATCGTCTCTCACCTGGGAGCTCACAGGGAAGCGATGGATGCGCGTAGGGTTCTTCACGGCGGCTGTCACATTTGCGGTGTGGATTCTCTGGGAGATCGCTCTGCCGCAAGCATCCTGGGGTTCCTTGATCGCCGCCGCCTTCAGGTTCTTGCTCTTTCAGCTAGCGCAGCTCGTCTTCTTGCTAGGGCAGCGATTGGTAGTCCAGCCGGAGGACCCTAACTCGTCCTCCATCGCCGACACGCTGCTGGGAATGGTATTGCTGGGCAAGGCGGCATTGGGCTGGCCGCTAGACCCAGATTACACGTATCTCGTCGTCCAGAGGATCCGGGTTTTGAGAAACAGTTTCGTTCTCGCTATCGCAACCATGGCCTCTGGATTCCTGTCGCTATGCGCACTCACGCTCTCAGTGAGATCGAAGAGCTCGTTCTTCATCGACATGGGTGTTCGTGGTGCCGCGCTGGGGCTGTGCTACATTTTTCTCTACACTTGGGGGAAGGGCCATTTGCTCAAGTTTCCGATCATCCAGGTTCGAGGGAAAAACACTTGTTTTTGATACTTCTTTCGCTCACAAACTCTTTTTCGTGTTGTTTTTGTGTTCTCAGAGACAAGTTTACTTCAGTATGAAACTGGGGATGACTTTGGCATTGCGCTCGGCACTTAGAATGGCAGTGCTCTCCATTCCAGTCGCGGAGGTCCTCGTAAGATCCTTGCACCGATGTCTTGCTGGTAACTGGGGGCCCTTCTCTTTGTGGCACCAAGTCATCTATGTTGTCGGAGCGTTCTTTGTCGCTCTGATCTGGAACTTGTGCTGCCACTTTATCCAGGTATGCATGACGCGAGTCTTTTTGTGATCCGTTTTGTTGATATGTGTGTTTGTGATTCTTCAGGTGATTCACACGAGACGGTTCGTGTTTGCGCCACCCCCGGGATCAGCTGCAGCCGAGACTAATCCGACAGAGCCGCTTCTTTCGGTTTTGGAAGACGACGAGGACTTGATCAGGCAGTACCTTGGATTCCTGGACCTGTTCATCCTATCAGGAGTCTCCGAGATAAATGTTGAGGCCTGGCGGCGAGCGGCATTCTTCGAAGAAAGCGGTGAAGCTTACAAGAAGGTCATCACGCTCTGTCTGCGACCACTTGACAGGCTTACAGTGAGGCTCCTGAAGGGTCTGGAAAGTGCGCAAGTAGGTGGTACCAAAGATCACATACCGGGTGCTGAACAAGGTGTGCATGCCAAGGAGAACTTTCAAGAATTGCAAGTAAGTAGCATGTTTTTTCAGACTGAATTGTACTCATCAGCTCCATGCTTGGCAGCTTTGCTCGTGGTGTGCGGGCATTGTGTCTTCGCTGACGGCATTCTCACGCACCGAAGACCGATATGGCGTTGCGCAGCTAACTGGCTCCAATGCGGCGGTACTGGCATCGCTCATATCCTGTCTGCTTATCCTGGACGTCTACCTGGGACGTCGTAGTGGTTTCGGAGCTTTGAGCCTCGTCAGCCCGAACGGGATCCGGTGGGCCGTGCCGTTCCGAGGAGCTCTGCTGGACGCGGATAGGAAGCAAAGCGCTCTTTTCAAGAAGAAGTCTCTCCAGCACAGGAAAGCACACGTAATGGCGGATGTTCTTCGGACAGCAATCTACAGGATCGTGGCAGTTTTCAGGGAGGAGATGGTAGTGACTGGCTCTGGCACCGTCTCGTATGCTCTCGCGGAACGAGACTGGCTGAGTAGGAACAAGCCTCTCTTTGGGACACCCGAGATGCACCTCCAGAAGCTGGGACAGTTTATAGAGTTCCAGGAGTAGGATGGAAGAAGACACAGTTTTGACGGGATTTGGTAATGTTGCGGTTTAGATGTATCAACAGGGTTGTGAGGAGAGCTTCCTCGACTTGTTAGAAGGTTCGTCTTTCTTTTTTCTTTCTACACTTGTGTTTTATGCGCTGATCGGAGCTCTTGGTGGTGCAGCTGAGTCGGGATCACTCGTTTGATAGCTATAAGGTGGCGCTTCGCTTTGGAGCTGCATCACCGACGTCATGACTTGCGCGAGCTCCGCCTGCGTGTGGTTGAGCTCCAGCATATGGGACAGGACAGAGTTGAAGGACTGGAGCGTCTCCTGGACGCTCTGGAGCGTGCTGAGGTTGTCCTTGCTGCCGGACTGGGACTGGATCGCCTCGAGACCCTCCACCAGGGACAGTGCCTCGATCACTTGGAGCTGGGTCTGATTGAGATCGGGGAAGGACAGGGATTCTCGGATGCTCTGGAGCTGCTGCTGGGTCTCCTGGATGGCTTCACGCAGGTCAATGAGCATATCTCTAGTGAGGACGCCAGTGTTGTCACCACTCCCCGAAGGTTGATCACCACTGCTGCCACTTCCGCCGCCGCCGTTGTCACCACCACCACCACTACCGCCACCTCCTCCACCTCCTCCTCCGCCAGGTCCGCCACCACCGCCAGGACCATTTGGACCTCTCGGATCCGTCACATTTGAAGAAGATCCACGAGAACCACCTGGAAACAAAAGCAAGCACCAGATCGAGTTGGAAAGGTAAAAGATCGAGCTCTCACTTTCGGTGGTATTTTCGCCAAGACAACTTCTCCAGTGGATGGAATGGAGCAGCAGGAGCACCAGCAGCAGTAGCTGGAAATTCGAAGCCGTGATCATCCTGAGAGATTGGCAGTAGCAGGCATGAGACTCGAAGTGGGCCAAAGTTTCATCCATATATAAGACTGGTCGAGGAAGCGTGTCTTTCTCGATCCAAATTTTGTGGAACATGTCCTTTGGGTTGTCTTGCCAGTACTGGAGTGCCTTTCTCGTGAAAGCACACACTTCTTTCTAAAGTCAAACTCGTCAGACTATAGTCAACTTAAGTCAAATCGTATAAGAAATCTACTCTAGATTCCTAGGGGCGGCGCCGCTCTTGGCGAGGAGGCTCGATCCGGGTCGCGGGCCTGGAAGCTAGCGGGCGGCGTATCGCTCTGGAGCTCGATGATCGAGGCCATGACCTGGGCGAGATCTTCCTGCGTCTGGTTGAGCCCCAGCATCAGGGAGAGGACATTGTTGAAGTACTCGAGAGTCTCCTGGATGGCCTTGAGCGTGTTCAAGCTGTTCTTGCTGCTTGCCTGGAGATCCTCAAGCCCCTCCACCAGCGACAGCGCCTCCACGACCTGGAGCTGGGTGGCATTCAAGGTCGGGAAGGAGAGCGACTGCCGGATGCTCTGGAGCTGCTCCTGGGCCTCCCCGATCGCGTCGCGGAGATCGATGAGCATGTCCATGTTGAGGATCCCGTTCTCGTCACCTGATGGTTGACCACCACCACCACCACCACCACCACCACCGGCACCCCCACCTCCCGGTTGACCGCCGCCGCCGCCAGGACCATTCGGACCTCCCGGGCCTCTTGGATCAGTCATGTTGGAGGAACCACCTATGAAGAACCCAAGAAATCGATGTCACCAAAGAAATGTATGGTGGTTTTTACCATTCTGGGTGGTGGAGTTTGTGCTGCTACTAGCGTTTCCCGAGTGGATCCAGTGGGCGAGCAGCAGTAGCAGGAGACTGGACGTCCAAATCTTGAGAATCATCGCAAAGAAATGCTTGGGCGAATGTGTTTGAGGGCGTGAGTTTCTTATACCGGGGAATGGATGCAATCATAGAGCATGTCCTTTGGGTTGCCAAGCTAATCACTGAATCATTGATCCACATAGAACGTCTCCGTGAATCCCAGCGAATATACTCCATGTAGCCCTAATTTTGACCACGTTTGAATACTCCATAAACCCTAATTTGACTATGTTTGACTTGATGAATATTCGAAGGATATAGGTTTTGGGTTTGTGTCGGCTATGGCGGTGGTGGGAGCGCTACTGCTCGTGGCGGCGGCGGTGGTCTTGTTCCTGGCGCGGCGCTGGGAGTGCAAGCGGGCGATCGCATTCTTCCATCCCTACACCAACGATGGGGGCGGCGGTGAGCGCGTCCTGTGGTGCGCCGTCCGGGCCGTCCAGGAGATGTTTTCCGATGTCCCTTGCGCGATCTACACTGGGGATGAGGCTACGCCCTCGTCACTGGCAGCTCGAGCATGGGAGAAATTCGGTGTCAAGCTCCATTCGCCTCCTCAGGTAAAATTCTCTCTAGTTCTTAGTTGTTGTTAGCTCGGTAAAATTCTTCTAGTTCTTCTTGATGTGGTCGATCTCATGCCTGGATCTTCTAGTCCATTCGTGAGTCTAGATGAGTGAGCATTCTCTTTGTCACGAACGAAGTTTGCGTGAGAGTCGATAAGCATGCCTGGAACTTTTAGCTCTGATCGATCGTGATTCTTTCTACAGGTTGTGAAACTGCGAACCAGGAATCTGGTTGATCCATCGAACTATCCACACTTCACACTTCTCTGCCAGTCTTTGGGCTCCATAGTTCTTGGATTGGAAGCACTCGTGAGGCTCAGGCCAGTCTTGTTCTTCGACACAAGCGGCTATGCCTTCACTTATCCCCTCGCAAGGCTCTTTGGCTGCAAGGTGGCGTGCTACACTCACTACCCGACCATCAGCTCCGACATGGTGTCGCGAGTTTCCAATCGCTCGTCGCTCTACAACAACAGTGGAGTTATCGCGCGCAGGCAAGTATCGTGTTGAACGTTGGCGTGTTTCTTTTCGTAGTGACTTCGTGCGTTTTCCAGCTTTTTGTTATCAACTGGGAAGATTGTTTACTACGAATTGATGGCCTTGATGTATGGACTAGCAGGGAGATGTGCTAATCTGGCGATGGTGAACTCGTCCTGGACACTATCCCACATAGAGAAGTTGTGGAAGGGAGCACGGATTGTGCGAGTTTATCCTCCGTGCAACACCGAGTCATTGCAGGTATGGAAGAGATCTTCTTACGTTTTCCTCTACTTGATAGAGGCATCCATCTTTTCTTCAGGAACTTCCGCTGGAGAGGAGCGAGCGTGAGCTTTATTTCATATCGGTCGCCCAGTTCCGTCCAGAGAAGGTAAATCCTCCCTTCTCTTCTGGTGCATCTCCTGACGCTTTCGTTTTCTGGAAGAACCACGACCTTCAAGTGGAAGCTTTCGCTATGGCCCTCGAGAAAGTTAGTGCTGAGAAACGTCCCAGGCTCAAGCTTGTGGGAAGCTGCCGAAATGAAGAGGACGCGAAGAGGCTGTCGGATCTAAAGTCTCTGTGCGCCAAGTTTGGAATCCAAGATCACGTGGACTTCCATGAGAATATATCTTACACGTAAGTCTTTTTTGGAGAAGTTTGCTCGCGACGCTCATCAGTTGTCTCTCCAGCGCGTTGCGAGACTTGCTTGGAGGGGCCATAGCAGGCATCCACTTCATGATCGACGAGCACTTCGGGATCAGCGTTGTGGAATACATGGCAGCAGGAGCGATCCCAATCGGTACGTTGTGCTCGTTCAGTTTCTAGCAAAAGGTCTTGAGTTCTCGGCAATTTGCAGCTCACAACTCCGCCGGTCCAAGGATGGATATTGTGGTGGACGAAGATGGCGGCCAGAAAACCGGTTTCCTCGCAGCAACAGTCCCGGAGCTCGCGAGCAAAATGGTCGAAGTGCTCTCCATGGTAAGCTCAGAGCGCCTGGAAATCGCCAAGGCTGCTCGGAGGCGATGCCACAGATTTTCCGAGAGGCAATTCAACGACAGCTTCAAGCAAGCCATGACGATGTTCCATCTCTAGAGAAGCGCAGCTTGGCAGAGGAGAGGATTGGAAAAACATTGCATTACCAAAACTTACGAACGAGAAAAAGGAAAACTTAACAAGAGGTACCTCTTGTGTTCCTGGACTACCTCACTGTTACAATGTCGTCTATCTTGAGGATCATGCGGACGCACTCGGTCGCCAGGCTCACGGCGCTGGTGCTCACCAGCAGCGGCTGCACCACATTCTCTTCCAGGATGTTTGTGATCTGGCCCTTCCTCACGTTGATCCCGGTGTTGACCTCTCCATTCGCGTGATGGTTGCGGAGCTCCGTCACGATGGTGATGGGATTCAGCCCCGCGTTCTCGGCTAGAGTGTAGGGGATCACCTCCAGAGCCTCCGCGAAAGCGCGCACGCAGTAGCTCTCCATCCCCTGTAAAGTTTTGGCCCACGCTCCAAGCTGTCTTGACACTTCGATCTCTGGAGCTCCACCACCTTGCCATCGAAGAAACATTAGTTCTCTGGAAATCTATCGCTCGAACGAAAGAAAACTACGCTCCTCGAGAAGAAACACTTACCAGCGATGAGGAAACGTTTGTTGACAAGGCACCGCACGACACAGAGAGCGTCGTGCAAGCTCCGCTCGGCTTCGTCGAGAACCAGCTGGTTCGATCCACGAACCAAGATGGTAGTCGTCCGGCCCATGTTTTTGATCCCGGATATCTTGACGATCCTCCCGTCGCCCACCGAGACCTCCTCCACAAGCTCGGCCTGTCCCAGCTTCTCGGCTCGGAAGTGCTCGATGTTGGCGATGGGAAGACAGTTGAGCGTCTTGGAGATGAACTCGATCTCGTCCCTCTCCACGTCTTTCACCACCAAGATCTTGGCCTTGGCAAGATAATGCAGCGACAGCTCCGTCACCGCGTCCCGGAGGATGCTCTTCTGGATGAGGAGAACGTTACACCCGGTGGCCTTGATCTTCTTTATCATTCCCAGGATGTGGTTCCTCTCCTCCTTGAGAATCCTGTCCATCTGCGTGTAGTCCGAGACGATGACGTTCTGCTCGATATCCGTCTTGGGTGGCGAGATCTGGAACTGGATCAAACCGATCTTCGCGTTCTCGACACGAGTCGGCCCACCGGCAGTGTGGCTCGCCTTCTTGTCGAAAACCAGCCCCTTGATCATCTCGGTGTCGTCCACGGTGCCACCGAGCTTCTTTATCACCTTAATATCTCGCAAGTCCACCGAGTCGGGCCTCGCCGGATCCACGACGTTGAGCACCGCGTCCACGGCCAGCGGCGCCAGCAGCGACGAGTACTGGCTCACCACCTTGCTGTTGAGCGACGTGCTCGCGTTCTTGACGAGCGCCTCGCGGTCCGAGAGCTCCACCGGTATCGCCATGGACGTGAGCACCTCCACCGCCTTGAGTGACGCGCGGTGGAAGGCGTCCGAGATGATGGTCGGGTGGACGCCCTTGCCGAGGAGGGCGATGCACTGCTTGAGCAAGGCGCCGGCGATCACCACCACGGTGGTGGTTCCATCGCCCGCCACGATGTCCTGGCTCTTGGAGAGCTCCACCAGCATTTTGGCGGCGGGCTGGAGCACCTCCATCTTGAGGAGGATGGTGGCGCCGTCGTTGGTGATGATTACCTCGCCGCTGGAGGTGGAGAGCATCTTGTCCATGCCGCGCGGACCCAGGCTCGTCCGCACGGCGTCCGCCACGGCCTTGGCGGCCATGATGTTGGCCTGCCGCACGTCATCCTTGCGCTTGTTGTCCACGTACGTCTCTGTCTTACCGGAGATCATCGGCGCCTCTGGCATTATCGCGTCGCCGCCCTCGTCCTCGCGCCTAGCTCGCTCTCTTCTTGGAGCTCGAGGCTGCCCTAACCCTAGAACCCCGATCGCGATCGCGGCCGTTGATCGGGCGACCGCGGGATGTGCGCGGGATATTCGTGGTTTTACCCGGCAATTTTTAGGGCGCGAGGGGGATTGCGCGAGGAGCACAGCGCCGCGGCTTTTGAGCTGTTTCGATCGGGATGGGAGCCACGGGCTCCAAGCTCGAGAAGGCGCTGGGCGATCAGTTCCCGGAGGGTGAGCGCTATTTCGGCCTGGAGAATTTCGGCAATACTTGCTACTGCAATAGCGTATTACAGGTAAATCTCTTCCTTGCTCTTCTCTTCGAGTTTTTCCTTCCCTTTGAGTTCTTCCTCTGCTACAAAAATTTCTTTTTTGTGTGTCTTTAGGCATTGTACTTTTGCATCCCATTCAGGGACCAGCTGCTGGATTACTACGGTCGAATCAAGACGGTCGGAGAAGCCGAAGAGAATTTACTGACTTGCTTAGCGGATCTCTTCACACAGGTATCTCGCTCAATCTGTTCCCAAGGTGATGTTTCAATCCTCCCTTTCCAGATAAACTCTCAAAAGAAGAAGACGGGTGTTATAGCTCCAAAGAGATTCGTGCAGAGGGTAAAGAAGCAGCACGAGCTCTTCCGGAGCTACATGCACCAGGTATTTTTCCATCCTCTCTGAAATAAGCACTCAAAACGAACAAAGCGCGCGATACTTACAGGACGCACACGAGTTTCTAAACTTTTTGCTGAATCAACTAGTTGAAGCTCTGGAGAAGGAGGCCAAGTCGGACCCGACAGCCCCAGCATCCCCAGAGAAAAAGTCTAGCGATAATGGAGCAACTGGAGAAGAGCATCCGCTTACGTGGGTCCACAAAATCTTCCAGGTTTGCGACTTTGTCAAGCTTTTAGCTCCAGCTTACTCACTCAGTCATGAATCCACAGGGGTGTCTCACCAACGAGACGAGGTGCCTGCGCTGCGAGACGATAACAGCAAAGGACGAGAAGTTCCTCGATCTCAGCCTCGACATCGAGCAGAACAGCTCCGTCACAAGCTGCCTCCGCAACTTCAGCTCCACCGAGACGCTCATCGCCGATGACAAGTTCTTTTGCGACAAATGCTGCAGGTTTCTATCTCTTCCTTCTCCCCTCGCCGTAACACCCCGCTGGCTCGCAGCTTGCAGGAAGCGCAAAAGCGGATGAAGATCAAGACGCAGCCTCGCATCCTCGCGCTCCACCTCAAGCGCTTCAAGTACATGGAACAGCTGGGCCGATACAAGAAGCTCTCGTACAGGGTGGTGTTCCCGCTGGAGCTGAAGCTGTGCAACACGGCCGAGGATGCTCCGGGGTCCGAGTCGGAGTACTCGCTGTTCGCAGTGGTGGTGCACGTAGGGAGCGGCCCCAACCACGGCCACTACGTGAGCCTGGTCAAGAGCCACAACCACTGGCTGTTCTTCGACGACGAGAACGTAGAGATGATCGACGAGAGTTATGTGCAAACGTTCTTCGGCTCCACGCAGGAGTACTCCAACAACACAGACCACGGCTACATCCTCTTCTATGAGTGCCTGGATCCCGCAAAGGCATCGTGAGAGAAGGGGGGTAAATTTTTTTCTCTCGTTTTTCTTCCTTCTTTTTTTGTTTCAAGATGATGACGATGATGGTATGTCCAAAGTTATTCCATGTTTTTGATCGCTAACAATGCCGACTACGACCGTTGACTTATTTCGGGGAGACTAGAGTTAACTTATTTACTTTGACAAGCGTTGTCTTTATGGACTTATTTTCTTTGACAATCGATGACTATGGTCCTCCACCGCCGGTGACCTCGCTCTCGAGCGTGGCGAGCGTGTTGACCGCGTCTGCGAGCTGCTGCTGGACTTGACTGGCGGCAAGCATGCACGACACTAGTTGACTGCTGCTGTTGAGCGCGCTCTGGACGTCTCCCAGGATGGTCAATTGCTGCTGACCGCTGGGTTGACCGCCCGGGCGGCCTCCCGGCCCCCCGGGGCCATTGGGTCCGCCGCCAGGTCCACCAGGTCCACCGCCCGGGCCACCCGGGCCACCAGGTCCTCCAAGCCCGCCGCCACTGCTGCCATCGCTGCCGCTATCGCTCCCCTCTCGCGCCTCTGGAGCTTCCGCGATGGAAGATAGGCCGTAAGAGACCGAGGACGTGGGAGGCTTTGCCGAGGAGACGGTGGACGAGTTTGAAGATTTCAGGGTGCTGTAGAGGAGCTGGTCGACCGTGTTCACTATGGACATGGCGCTGGCCAGCTGGTTTTGGGAGGCCTCGAGCGAGTCCAAGGAGATCAAGGAAGTGGCTTGCTGGAGCTCCACCATGGAGGCGTTGATCGCGCTCTGGAGCTCCTCGAGCATGTCCATCTCCTGCTCCTCGGTGCTCTCGCTGGAGACGTTGGAGAGAAGGAATCGGCGAGGCCCTCCTGTGAGATCGTAAAAACACCACGAATGTTTTTAGACCGTGAGAAACTCTATACCTCCAGGGGATCCATGTCCCGGAATGAGAAGCAGCGCCACTGCTAGAAGAAGGAGAAGAGCTCTCGCTGTGATCGGCGATGCCATGATACGCATCTCTGTTGTGTTTAGAAGAGTGACACCTCGCGGCTTTAAAGGCCAGAGTCATCCGGCTTCCAAGGGAGATGACACTAAACACACGCGATGCATGGGCGCTCCCAGCGCTCTCGCTCTCATCATTTGCAACGTAAAGATTTTGGTTCTTGGGTTTCTTGGGTTGACGTGAATTCACCTTACGTTATACCAAGAATATATCAGTATCTTTCGCAATTACACGAATCAAGATCATTTATTCTATGATGGTTTTTCTCATACAAATAAATGTTGGGAGAAGAAGTCGATTGACATGAGAAGGAGTGCTTGCTTGGATCTATGGGCCTCCTCCAGGCCCAAACCCAGGGCCGCCTCCACCACCATTGTTGTTCAGCTGGAAGTAAGCCGCGAGCGTGGAGATCAAGTCCATGGCGGAGCCGAGCTGGGAGGCGGTGGTGTTGAGTGACGAGAGAGCCAATCCCACGCTCCCATCCTGCGACTGCACGTCGCTGAGGCCGGACAAGACCCCGATGGCGCCGGTCAGCTGCTCGTTGACCGTGGCGTTGAGCGCCGCCACCGAGTCCAGTGCCTGGTCAACGCTCTTCCGGAGCGAGCCCAGCGCGGAGACGAGCGACAGTGCCTGGTTAACCTGCGTCTCCAGGCTGTTCAGGCTCGAGAAGCTCGTCACGGCCTGGGTGATTTGCGCCTGGGTGGCGTTGACCGCGCTCTGGACCTGGAGCAGCATCTGGAGTTCTTGGTTTTGGTCCTGGTTTCCACCGCCGCCGGGGCCGCGAGGGCCGTCTGGATCACCAACTTTTGGGGGAAACCACGAAAGCTTTGAGCAATGCTAGAGATCTAGAGAGGCTTGGGAGACTTACCGGGTTGCGCGAGCTTGGGAGCCGCGAGAAGCGTCGCGAGGAGGAGGACGAGGCTCATTTCCCTGGCCATTCCTTTCGATTGGATCAAGAAGTGGAGCTTGGCGTGGAGATGGAGGAGTTCTTCTCGCGGATTTAAATGGGGGAGAGGCACTAAAGGCATGAATCTTTGCTGCCGCTTTCCAACGCGTCAAACCAAGGGTCATGATCGTTAGGAGGGGGAACACAAATGATGCTCGTAGACACACTCGAGCAATCACGTCAAGAGCTCCACTCGAGTGATGAGTATCATCCAGAAACCAAGGAATTGCACTTCCATCCTGGAAGAACTTTTTAAACCCAACTTAAGAAACGTGAGGTTCTATGCTCTCTTAGGTAGGGTTGCAAAGGCTATGGAAGCCACGCACGTCTTCCCAGGACTTGGCTCGTCATGGGTCTCGAGACCCTCGGCAGCATTCT